TCCTTTCTTCCTTCCTTCCTTCCTTCCTTCCTTCCTTCCTTCCTTTCTTTTCTTTCTTGTGTGGTGGTACTGGGTTTGAACTCGGGGCCCTAATGCTTGCTAGGCAGGCACTCCCCTTGAACCTTGAGCCATGCCCCCAGTCCTTACACCCAACATAATTATCTGTTAAGTCTGAGGCCTGTTATTTAGGGTCTGAAAAACTAATGGTTAGCTGTTGTGAGCCTGCCTGAATGTTGGCTTCATTTTTTGAGAGGAAGGTCTTGCATTATTGCCTAGACTGGCCTCAAACTCAGGATCCACCTGACTCAGCTTATTGAGTAGTTGGGATTATGGCTGTGTGTCTGGATGCTTGTCTATACTTTTAATCTAGTCCCATTGGAGCTATTATGTATCAAGTGCAAAAGTCTTTTTTTTTAAATGAACTGTTGATCTTCAGTTACAAATTGCAGTGTCTGGCTGATTAGTCCAGTTAGTCCACCAGGCAAGTCTTCGGAATACTTGTAAACCACAACATTTCCTCTGGCAATTTGGAGGGCTTAAGAATCTCAGAGTAGGTGATTGCCTAGCTGTTGTGTCTGGGTCCAGAGAATTTAGCCAAAACTTAATTCCTGTTTTCTGCTCCCATGTCCCTACTTCGGATGTTTATTGTAGGACAGAACTGACCTATCTCATATTGGGGAAACCAGCAAACTATTACTTGTTCATAATTATAGCCCCAAATTAAGTCTTTATAATAATAAGGTAGTAGATTTAATAATGTATATTATAATTATAATTATAACAATCGGTCCAATTCTAAGGAAAAAAAGTTAAAAGAATTGATGATGTTAAATCAGGAGAAGACTAGGGCACACCACTGGGACAACTTTATTCACTAAAGCTACCATTTATTGTGTGCTGTGTGGTGAGACTCAGCTAGATACTTTATTCCCATCCTGGGCAATAGGTGGTATTTATTATATTAATTTGATAGAGGAGAAAACTGAGGTCTGTTTCATTTAATTTGCTTAGGTCAAGAAAATGACACAGCTGGAGATAGAACATGGTACTTTGACTTTCCCAAGGTAGTTCTCTTGAAGATCTGTGCCATTCTTAGTACCTTATACTTATTTATTTGGCATGACATATGTATTTAATAACTATTCAGTTATTCCTTCACTTAAACTGCTATGTTGGGACCATTTTATCCACAGAATAAGACTAATGATATGGAGAAAGTTTGTTTAGTTTGTTATTGTTTGATACAAAAGCAGTACTATAATCATGGAACACGATTCTGAGTGAAGAAGTTATAAATTAACAGATACCTTCTCTTCTTTGTAGACATAGACATGGAAAAAGTACACATATTTATGTATGCATGTAAAATAGGTACACATATTGCATATATTTTTTTAACTCAGTTGAGACTACATGACAATAATCATTCTGTAACTTTTTTTTCCCCCACTCAATCTGTATTGCATAGTTCCCTATTAGCTTATGTAAAGTTGCCATCCTCTTTACAGTGTCTCTACTGTATTCATTTATAATTTAACAGTCAATTATTATTGATGAACATTTAGGGTAACTTCTGTTTATCTTATTTATATCTTTTCTTTTTGTGCTGTCCTAGTGCTTGAACTCAAGGCTTGGGCATTATCCCTGAGCTTTTTGCTCAAGGCTGGCATTCTGCCACTTGAGCCATAGCTCCACTCCAGCTTTCTTTCTTTTTTCTTTTTTTTTGTTGGTTGTGGGGCTTGAACTCTGGGCCTGGGTGCTGTCCCATAGCTCTAAAGCTCAAGGCTAGCTAGTGCTCTACCACTTGGGCCACAGCACCACTGCCATCCACTCTGGCTTTCTTCATTCTTCCCTCCCCTCTCCTCCCTCCCCTCCCCTTCCCTCCCCTTCCCTTCCCTCCCCTTCCCTTCTTTTCTCCTCCTCTTCCCCCTCCCTTTCCTTCCTTCCTTTTTTTTCTCTCTCTCTCTTTCTTTCTTTCTCTCTCTCTCTTTTTGGCTAGTTGGTGGTAAGAATCTCACAGACTTTCCTGCCTGGACTGGTTTTGGACCTCATTCCTCAAATCTCAACCTTCTGAGTTGGGAGTTGCTAGGCTTACAGGCCTGAGCCCCTGGCCCTCAGCCTTCTGTTTATTGTTTTCATTGTGGTTTATGGAAAAGTGATGCTTGAATATTCTCGAGCATGCATCGGGTATATTTTTACAAGTACTAATTCTGGGTGGGGAATTGCTATGTTAAGGAGAACATTCCCTTTAAATGATGATAATTGTTGCTAAATGGCAACTGATTTCATTCCCACTGATAGTGTTCGGCTATTGTGTCCACTCTGTCATCATGTTTGCTTCAGGCCAGGTCCACCGTTCTCTTCGAAGAACCCATCCTTCCCTTTCACTTGTGCACATTCTGTATTGTTTTGTTGACATAGAGGTACGTTTGGATTGAATTCCTTGTTAGTGTTTGAAGCTTTAAGGTCCCAATGACATAGACCAAGACAATTTTGGAGAAAAGTACAATTTCCCTTCAGCTACTGGACTTACATTTGGGTGAGAGAGACTCTAGTTCTTTATAGTGACTCAGGAGGAAATGATCTGGTGTTAAAGAGATTGTGAAGGAAAATACCTAAAACCAAGCCATGATCTCTTACCTCCTACTCTGTACCTAACCAAGTAGAACTTGTATTGCCAAAGCATGTGTCCCATTATCTGCATGGTAGAATCTATCTGTCTAAACATTTACTACTGTGTATCTGTCGTAGAGATCTGGAAGTAGTCACTTGGGTAGTGACTGTGTGCAGGTGGTTAAGCATGGTGTTAGTACCTATATGGGGTAGGGTACTGTGGGCCCTGGGGTGTGGAGTGGGGGTTGTAAGAAGGGGTTTTGCTTAAGATTTTTACTGATTTTTTTTTCGTGAGGTCTCAGGGCTTGAACTCTGGGCTTGGGTGCTGTCCCTGTGCTCTTCAGCTCAAGGCTAGTGCTCTACCACTTGAGCCGCAGCCCCACTTCCGGCTTTCTGGTGGTTAATTGGAGATAAGAGTCTCACAGACTTTCCTGCCGGGTCTGGCTTTGAACCTCGATCCTCAGATCTTAGCCTCCTGAGTAGTTAGGGTTA